TAAGACTTCAACCCTGTATTTGCTATTATAGTAGATTCTTTCACATATATCTATAATTTCTCTCTCTCTATTTATCATATCTTTGTGTTTTTGTGTTTAGGATTTCAATTCTCTTTTATTTCATTTTTAAATGTTAATTAAATTGGATTTTAGGGAAAATTTTAAAATCTGATAACATGTTTTGTGATTATAGAGTAATTCATCATTTTCTCCAATTTATCGTTAATTTCGTATTCAATTTCACTTTCTTTTGTTTGATTGTTGTGATGATGTGTAGATCCGTGAGAACACGAAATAACAAACTTAGGTTGAAGTTTTCTATTTTATCTCCTCTACAACTCAATGATTGAAATTGTTGATGAAACTTATATGAAAAGTTGTTCAAATACATATTACAATGTGTTAATGTTGTGATACAAATTTTTAAAAATAGAGTTGATTGAACACAAATTGGTGTGCATCAAATCAATAGTATGTTAATTATAATATAAATAAACTAATATAAAATATTCATACTATGTTATTTTTTTATTTATCTCATATTATTCATTAATGCTTCTTATTTTAAGACCATGTCAAAGTCATGTTGAGCCTCCCATAGATCCACCATATCAAAGCATGTTGAGCATCCCATAGATCCTAAGTGGAATGGACGGTAAAAAAAATTGTTATCATAGTGATTATGAAAGTTTTTAGTTATCATAGTGATTATGAAAGTTTTTAGTCTTAAAGATGAAGAGAAGCTATTGAAAGCATCACATTGCTATTTTACTTCTTTTTTTTTTCCTGCACTTTTCCAGTCTGTAACATTTTAATTAGTATTGTCTATATTAAAGATTATATTTATAATCCAATTACTAAATCCATCAAATATTAATTAATATTTATATGTAATTATAAATTAATATAGTCTTTTTTTATTCATCCTCTTTAAAGAGAAGTTTAATTTTTTTATAAATTAATATGGTCTTTTTTTATTCATCCTCTTTAAAGAGAAGTTTGATTTTTTTATAAATTAATATGATCTTTTTTATCCATCATCTTTAAAGAGAAATGATAGATAATATATCAAATAAAATAGATAAATACATATTTTATTACAGTTTTATATCTAAATGATAAAAGAAAAAAGTATTGATTATAAAATTAATAATTATAAAATATAAGTAAAAAATGCATGTAAATATAAAATTATAAAATATGGATGATGCCCTTCTATTAATATTGGAATTAAAATTTCTCAATTTTGTAAGATAAAATATTTTTTTCTAATCAATTATAAAAAAAATCTTATATATTGAAACGTAATTGTAGGTTAAATGTTTTTCTAATGGAATTAATTGAAAAGCTGGATTAATTAGAAATGTGAGTATTTGATTTTTTTCAAGTTATTAGAAATTTAATTATTATTATTCATTGTAAATCAATTAAAAATAAATATTTAGAAAATTGATTGTAGGTTGTTTTTTTAGGTAATGAGAATTAATTAAAGAAGTGGTTAATTGGAGTACTATATATATATAATGCTTTTAAAAAAAAAAACTTGTATATATATAAAGAGTATTAGGAGTACTCTTACTCTCTTACATTAAGATTACTTCTATTACAATTAAATAATTTTTTTTATTTTATGTTTGAACAATTCATAAAAGTTGTTAGTGCACAAAATGATGATGGCATAAAGAATAAGAGAATATATTTTTTACTTTGCAATGACGGCTACAAAAGTGTAAAAGATTGAGTATAAATGACAGCTACCATTAATCTATTTATACACAAAACAATTGTCACGTAGGCTTTAACAAAAGGTAAACTTAAAAATTAAGTTAACAAGCAGACTAAACTTAACAACTACTCTAACAAAATAAACTAGAACTCCAGAAGCTAAACATACTTCTGGACGTAACCTCAGAAGCTTCTGCTTCTGACTAACAACCTCAGAAGCTCTATTGCTTCTGAGCAACACTGCCTCTGACTCTAATAACTTTTGAATATAAATTACTTCCAACACCATCTCTTAATTCATATTCAACTAATCAAAAAACTACAACATCAATTTCACCCCTCAAACAGATAAAGTGTTCAGTCTTGACATCCTTCGTCAGAACATCTGCAAGTTGCTTCTGGTTGCTAGAGTATGCAACTTCTAATACTTCATTTAAAAATGTATATTTCTCCTTGAAACCCCATCTGACGTCGATGGCTTTCTTCTCCTTTGGAAGCTCAGTTAACTCTCAAGTCTTGTGGCCTCTGGCCTTGTTCAGAATCTCCTTCTGATTCTATAACAAAATCTCCTTCTAGACTTTCTTCTGAAGTTCGACTACCATCAGAAGCTCCACCTTTGTTAGCTTCTGGACTTTCTCCAGAACCACTACCTTCAAAAATACCATCTTCAAAAGTTGGTTCGCCTTCAGAAGACCTACCTTTAGATGTTCCACCTTCAGAATCATGACCACCTTCAGAAGTTGGATCACCTTCAGAAGCTCCTCATTTAGAAGGTCCACCTTCAGAGTCATGATTACCACCAGAAACATGATCATCTTCAGAAGGTTGTCTTCCAGAACCTATGTCTTCAGAGTTTTCCCTTCCAAAAGCATGATCACCACCAGATTTAAAATCTGGACCAAATTAAATTCACCATCTAACTCATCTTTAGAGTCTCCAGAAGATTCTTCATCTTCTGACTCTGACTCACCTTCAGAACTTTCGAGTTCTGACTCATCTTCAGAACCTTCAGGTTCTGATTCTTCTTCAGAAGCAGAATCTCCTTCAGGTTTATACTCATCTTATAATTCTTATTTAGACTCATAATCACTTTCGGATTCTGACTTGTCTTCAGCTTCAAAGTCATCTTCTAACTCTGACTCATCTTCAGAAACCTCAAATTCTAACTCATCTTCAGAATCTTCAGATTCATCTTCTGATTCTAACTCATATTCAAACACTCCAAAATCAGAATATTCAAAGTCATCTTCTTCCCCTTCAAAATCAAAAAATGACAATCATACAAGTTCCTCATCAGATTCATAATCCATCAATAGCACAGGTTCATCATCAGAATCTCCTATGGCTATTTTTGCTTCTTCTTTATTTGACCAATAATCTTTAGCAAATTGGCCAAACTGCTTACAACAGTAACACTGAACCATTCTCTTGTCATACTTCTCCTTTCCCTTCTGATATTTCTTCTCATCAGAGTAGAAGACTTCTGATTTCTGAGACCTACTATATTTTTTCTACTTCTGGTCCTTCTTGACAAAAGAAGCTTTCAGAGCCTGCTCAACCTTCCTCTCAGAAGTTCTTTCAGTCATATGTAACTCTTGCGCCTCTAAACTACTTTGTAGCTCTTCTATTCTTATGGTGTCCAGATCTTTATAATGTTTAATTTCTACAACAATGTAATTAAATTGAGGAGTAAGAGACCTCAATATCTTCTTAATAATTACTTGTTCAGAAAGAGTTTCTCCACAAGCTTTTATTTCATTAGTGATCAGAATCACTCTGGAGATGTACTCGGACACCTTCTCGTTGTCCTTTATGTTTAGATTCTCATACTGCTTTTGTAGGGACCGGAGTTTCACCTTCTTCACTGATGTTTCACCACCATAACACCTAACTAGTGTGTCTCACGCATCTTTCTTCATTGTCAAATCAACGATTTTCTCAAACACGTTCACATCCACACACTAATGAATGTAGAACAACACCTTCTGATCTTTCTTTCTTTTGTCTCTCTGCGCGTTACACTATTTCTTCATAGCATCTGCTGCAACCGGAGCGTAACCTTCAGTAACAAGATCAAGAACATCTTGAGCACCAAATAACATGCGTATCTGAATCACCCATCTATTCCAGTTCTTGCCATAAAAAACTGGAGGTTTGGTGCTCAGATTACCATTTCTATTCATCTTCAACCTCAGAAGTTGTACTGCTTCTGAGCAACACTGTTTTTGACTTTAATAACTTCTGAATATGAATTACTTCCAACAAAAGTTATATTTTAATTTACATTTGAAATCTATTACACGCCACCTCTAATAACATAATTTTATATTTAAAACCACCTCGCTCACATCTCATATATCATATAATCGCATTCCTTTTATTCCATATACACTAACAAGAAGTCATCCAGATTTTCCCTTCCCTATTCTTGTCTACCTTTTCTTTGAGAAAATTTAGTGATACTATGAAATTCTCCCTGATGTATTCTAATTCCACCATATCAATATCAAGCCATAACTTAATTTCCTGTCATATGAGCTTGGAATTGCCACACTGAAACATTATCTCTTCCTTTTCAAGTCACCATATTTATGTTGCATGATCCCCACTAAAATTCATCTTCCTCTTTGATACACCATATTTATGTAGTACATTATATATGGACCTATCAAATATAATTTTCAACTTGTTAAATGGAGCTTTCACCAAAAATATTGAATATGACCATTGATTATTGTAATCCAATTAAGAAATATATATATATATATATATATATATATATATATATATATATATATATATATATATATATATATATATATATATATATATATATATATATATATATATATATATATATATATATATATATATATATATATATATATATATATATATATATATATATATATATATATATATATATATATATATATATATATATATATATATGTGATGCAACACATTCTAGAGAATTGCACAAAAGATTATCATATATGTTTCTTGACTAACTCCAAATGGTAACTTCAACATTTGTTGCATATAAAATCACATTCTAAATTAGAAATTAGACCATAGAAAAAAAAATTACCAACAAGGGAACATATATATAATTACTAAATCATCAAATTTTATTCTCAAACACAAATTTTCTAACACATATTAAAAATAAAAACAATACAAATTAATCATCACTTGGCAACAGTAAAACACTGTAGAGATAGATTGTGACATACAAACCATGAAAGCACACATAACATTATTTTCTAATAATTTCAAGGGTTTGATTTTGCTAAGGTATTATTTTCCTTAATCTTCTCCACCATCTTCTCTTTGACAAGCCTCCTCATTATTTTACCAGAAGGAGATTTTGGTATAGATTCCACAAAGTGAACCACTCTCACTTTCTTGTAATGAGCAACATTAGAAGCAACAAATTTCATAATGTCCTCTTCACTCTCTTTTGCACCTTTGCTCAAAACAACACTTGCAGCTGGAATTTCTCCTGCCTCTTCATCCGACAATCTAAACAATCATCACACGAAACAATATAGCATTGAATTTTTAATAACAATTAAACTCAATCTTAAAAGTGATTATCGCGGTTACTTACGGTACGACAGCCGCGTCTTCGACCAAGGAATGAGACAGTAGAATAGCTTCTAGTTCTGCAGGAGCAACCTGAAAGATAAACTAATGTTAGCCCTTTATCAGACATTTATATATAGTCAGTTGAATTCATGTCACACAGAATATGTAAGACAAACTCATCCTGCATGGCATGAAATCAATCAACTATAAACATGTAAGATCAATAACTTACTTGGAAGCCTTTATATTTAATCAACTCCTTGATACGATCAACGATAAAAACATTTTCTTCATCATCGATGAATCCCACGTCACCGGTGTGAAGCCATCCGTTCTTGTCAATAGTCTGACTAGTCTCATCAACTTGCTTATAGTAACCTAACAAATACAGAAACAATTTACATCATACAATATACCTTTATCTTAGTTTTACACATTGTTTATGAGCAAGACTTTATCTTCATTTTTCATTACCTTGCATGACACATTGGCTTCTTACACAAAGTTCCCCTGGTGTGTTCCTTGGGAGGGACTTACCTGTTTCAGGATCAATGAATTTGACTTCCAAATTTGGAAGAATGAAACCAACTGAATTTTTATGAGTATTTCCACTTTTCTTTTGTGCAAATGTAAGTGTGATGCAACTATGCTCAGTTAGTCCATATGCCTGCAAAACAAAAGCTAGCACCTTAGAAACACATACTATACCTATGCATGCATGTGTCTTTGATGGCGTGCAAGGTAGACTACCGCGCAGAGCCTCGTAAAATATTTGTCATGGTTGAAACATGACAAAATATGCATCCTATTTGTTTTACCACAGTTAAACATACACTGGTCTCTAAAAACATAAGACGACTCTGCCTATGCAGTTGCATTAGTTACATTCAAATTAGACAATACATTTTCTAGAATGATGAAATGACAACCTCTTGAACAAGCACACCAGGAAACTTATGCTCGAAGGAAGTAAGCAATTCGGGTGCAAGTGGCGCTGCAGCTGTCATCACAGCTTGAAGTTTAAGCTTACTTAGATCAAACTCATCCACAATAGGATTTTTAACCAATCCAAGAATAATAGGTGGAACAATAGGTGCAAATGTAACCTCATGCTTAATCAAAGCATTCAAAAATGACTTCAAATCAAATCTTCCCATAACTACAACTTTTCCTTTGTTCCTAATTGTTGCACAGCAAATTCCAGTGATGCCATAAATATGAAAGAATGGAATTAACCCTAATGTTGTAACTTTACCAATCATTTCTGGAACTACAGCAAAAAGTGTAGAGCAAAGATTTGCTACAAGGTTTCTGTGTGTAAGCATCACTCCCTTCGACATTCCAGTCGTTCCAGACGAGAATGGCATGGCGCATAGGTCGTTTTGGTGAATTGGTTCTTTCATTTGATCATCACCTGCCCTATCTGCTGCTTCAAGAAGTTTCTTCCAGTTCATTGCATCCTCAACAAATTCGTCGTCTAAGACAATGACAGGTAGACCTAGACTTTTCACCTGTATCATTTTCAATTAGAATGAAGAATGTGATAGTTATTTTAAAAAATAGTTACAAAATAAGCCTATTTAGTAAGACGTTGATTATTCCGACCATCCAAGGCCTAATATTTTCCAGAGATAAATCATGGCTAAATAAAGCCTCATAAAATATCGATCACAAGTTTAATCCTGACAAAATATGACCTCTATTTGTTTTGCCACTATTAAACTGTGGTTAACCTACACAGAGTCTTCAAAAACTTCAACGACGGTGATTAAAAACATTTTGAAGGAATTACCTTTTCATAGGTTGTACTATTTGTGATAATTAACTTGGCATCAGCAGAATCAACTTGTTTCTTAATTTCTGAAGTATGTGAAGTTGGATTTGCACCAGAGAACACACCACCAGAAGCCATAATCCCCAAAGCAACAATAGCATACTCAACCACATTTGGAAGTACAACAATCACAACATTCCCTTTTCTCAAACCAAGAGACCTTAAAGCCTTTGCAAATCTATATATGTCTCTAGAAACCTCATTATAAGTAACCTCTTTTCCACTCTCAGCATCCACAAATGCAACTTTATCACCATAAAATTCAGCATTTTGGAGCACGAATTCGGGCAATGTCACGTTTTCAGGGATCGGAACTGGCGAATATTGGCTACGGAAAATGTGTTCATTCTCTTCTACATGATTTTCAATGTAAGTTACCATGTTGAGTATGTTAAATATTCGAAATTGTGGATAGTAATTGAGAAGGATGAAGTTAAATGATTAAGTTGACGATCATGTTTATTTATATGAAAAGTTTTGTCATTTGTCACACTTTTTACATGGTTTGAGGTTGGAAAAGTTGTATGTGAAATGCATTGAAAATTTGTTGGTGAGTATTTGTTGAATCATGTTATTGACAAAGGCTAACTACAATGTTTGGTTCTTATCCAACTCAAATAGGTAAACTGTATCAATATTTTGATGAATGTGACATTGTATGTGTTATCTTATATTAACCAATGAATGTAGGTGACCCCTATTGCGATTGAAAGCTTTTTTAATAATTAGAATTTATTTTAAATTTTTTAAATAATGTAGATACCTATAAAATAATTAAACATAATATTAACGAAAAATATGCTTGTAAAACAATAATAAATATACACAATAACTTGTATAGGGGAGCTTTTTAAGTTCTTAAAAAAAAATTATAATTAAGAAAATAGAGAATCCACTATGATTCAAGAACAAAAGGAGACATTAGATGTTTATTTTTTTATTCTTTCTAAACTTATAGCAAGCACAACCATTATTATTGGAAGCACCGCACTACAAGGAAATTATTATTTTATTAGAATTTATGCTCGTGACAAAACCTATTGAATAAAAAAATTACATAGATAAGAGGAAAATCCTTTGATAGTTTTTGTTCATCCTTATTCATTAGCATGAAAGGTCAACCCTAATTTTGTTATTCTAATATCTTCTTCAAATCGGTGTCACTTCATAAGTCACACTCATAACTATCTTTTTTTTTTGTTTAAAACCTAATGGAAATTAAGCTTGTATGACTGTCGTGACAATGATAGTTAGAATTTTTAAACTTGCACACTAACAACAAAATAAAATCAAGAGACAAGGCCCGTAATATGTTCTTTACTGAACATAATAAATTATTTAAAAACATTTAAAATTAACTATAAACACATGGACTACAAGAGATGGGTTCAACTATTTGGGATCTAATTACTCACATAAATGGAGTTATCACACTCCTAAACTTGAACCATCATATGTCCATGAAAATTGTGCAAAACAATTGATATATAATCAAAACTATTCTAAATTTTGCAACACATTTCCTAAAAACCAATATTTTAAAGCTATGCTATATTCAATCATTGATACAATTCAACATTGAACTAAAATTTTCTCATTAAGTGCGTGTATGAGAGTGCACTATGACGCACAATGTTGCAACAATAGACTTCATCAAATGTAATCAACATCAATTCTAATTTATTTGGATTATCCTATGGTTCAAGACTTAGTTTCAAGTTTATACTATTTCATAAGAAACTTAGGTTTTTTAGTTTTATTTTGAATTTAGAGATTCTACTAGCACCTATATTTCCTTTTTGATAGGTATTTCACCTTTTCACTTGACAAGATTTTACTTGTAATGATTCAATCTATTATTCATAGTTAAACATCTATTGTTCCTCCAATTTTAGATACAAGAACTTTATTCACCATTTTTACTCTTTTTCGATGTTTTTTCTATTCTTTTCTTTTAACTTGCATTTGCAAATGCACTAGCCTATTTTTCTTAACTTTTTAGACATGTTCCTACCATTATATTAGTACTAAAACACATTTATTCCATAGTCTAATACAAATCAAACTAGTCAATATTCTGATTTTTTTTACTTTTAGTCATGACAGGGGTCATCACTTTGGAAATTACAATTATGCACAATCATTTAATTCTTTTTGGATTGTTTCCTACATTTATCAAAGTCAAGCAAAATGAAAATCATTTACCCGACCCACCACTTATTTCTTCTATTGATTTGGTTTGGCCAAATTTGAGTATATCTCATTCATTAGTTAACCATTGTATAGGGATGGGTGTCTACAAAACATTTTCCATTGAGCAATGATATATGGACGTCCAAAACCGACACCTTAACTTAACACCGTACATATATTGTTTTATTTCTTTTGATTTGAAAACAAGAGAGATAATTAATAATACATGTGTGCTATTTTGACACCAAAATTTGACACCAAAACGTACACCAAAATTTAACACCGTAGTCACCGTATTTATTTATATTTAAGTTTTATTTATAACACAAATATATAATAAACCAACTTCACAATTATATTAACCACAAAAATGTATATTAATATTTAGAAGAATGCTATAGTTACACCAAAATTTATATTAAACTTTTACAATGTATGATATTATGTAAGAGTTGGATAAAATTCTATAAAGGCACATATTTTTGTTGGAAGTAATTCATATTCAGAAGTTGTTGTTAGAGTTAGAAGTTTCTGATGATATTATTCAGAAGCAGTGTTGCTTAGAAGCAGTAGAGCTTGAGGTTGTTAGTCAGAAGCAGAAGCTTATGAGGTTATGTCCAGAAGTATGTTTAGATTCTGGGATTCTATTAATTTTGTTTACTTAACTATTAAGTTTAGTTTGCTTAGTTATTAAAATTACCTTTTGTTAGGACCTACGTGACAATTTACTTTGTGTATAAGCAAACTAGTGATAGCTGTCATTTATTAATAATAATAATTAAAATTCCTTCCTTTATCTTTACAACCATCATTCCATTTATTCTCATAAATATATTCTATTTCCTTTTGTTCTTAACCTTGTGCACTAATAATTGGTATCTAGAGCTCCAGTTTGGATCCACGGGAAAACACGAGTGAAACAGTAAGGCGTTATGTGATTGATTTCGATTCTTGAATTCATGTTTGAATCTTGAAAAAAATCGCAACAGGATCACATTTTTTAATTATGCGGGATTGAGAAACACTATGTTTAGTGAGATCTGAGAGTTTTGTACAAGGTTGAAGATGAACAAAAACGATAATATGAACACCAAACTTCTAACTTTTTTTGTAAGAACTGGAATAGATGGATGATTCAGATGCGTGTGTTATTCGCTGCTTAAGATATTCTTGAGCTTGTCACCGAAGGTTACATTCCAGCTGCAGCAGATGCTACGGAATAACAGAGAACCACGCAGAGAGACAAAATGAAGAAAGATTAGAAAGCGTTGTTCTACATTCATCAGTGCGTGGATGTGAATGTGTTTGAGAAAATCTCTGATTCAACGACGGTGAAGGCTACGTGGGACACACTGATCAGGTGTTATAGTGGTGACACATTAGTGAAGAAGGTGAAGCTTCAGTCCCCCCGAAAGCAGTATGAGAATCTCAACATGAAGAACAACGAGAAGATTTCTGAGTACATTTGTGTCATTAACCAACTTCACAGTTATATTAACCACAAAAATGTACATTAATATTTAGAGGAATGTTATAGCTACACCAAAACTTACATCAGAATTTTACAACGTATGATATTATGTGAGGGTTGAATACAATTCTTTAAAGGCACATACTTTTGTTGGAAGAAATTCATATTCAGAAGTTGTTATTAGAGTTAGAAGCTTCTGATGTTATTATTCAGAAGCAGTGTTGCTTAGAAGCAGTAGAGCTTCTGAGATTGTAATTCAGAAGCAGAAGCTTCTAAGGTTACGTTCATAAGTATGTTTAACTTCTAGGGTTCTAGTTATTTTGTTTACTTAGCTATTAAGTTTAGTTTGCTTAGTTATTAAGTTTACCTTTTGTTAGGGCCTACATGACAATTTACTTTGTGTATAAACAAAAAAGTGGTAGATGTCATTTATTAATAATAATAATAATTAAAATTCCTTCTTACAGTTTTACATCCGTCATTCCATTTGTTCTCATAAATATATTCTCTTTCCTTTTATTCTTAACCTTGTGCACTAACAATTGGAATCTAGAGCTCTGGTTTGGATCCATGGGGAAACACGAGTAAAACAGTGAGGTGTTGTGTGATTGATTTTGGTTCTTGAATTCGTGTTTGAATCTTGAACAAAATAGAAACAAAATCATATTTTCTGATTCTGCAGAATTAGAAAATACTGTGTTTAGTGAGATCCGAGAGATTGTTCAAGGTTGAAGATGAACGAAAATGGTAATTTGAGCACCAAACTTCAAATATTTTATGGCAAGAACTGGAATATATGGATGATTTAGATGCATGTGTTATTCGGTACTCAAGATGTTCTTGAGCTTGTTACCGAAGGTTACGTTCCAGTTGCAGCAGATGTTACGGAAGAATAGAGAATCGTGCAGAGAGACAAAAGGAAAAAAAATTAGAAGGTGTTGTTCTACATTCATCAATGTGTGAATGTGAATGTGTTTGACAAAATCTCTGATTCGACGATGGTGTATTGAAGAGTGTATTGAAGAAGTTATCAAGAAGAAAGTGTGCTTGAATGCCATGAAAGAAGAACTTGAGGCTATAGAAAGAAACGAGATTTGGGAGTTAACTGAGCTTCCAAAGGAGAAGAAAGTCATCAGCGTCAGATGGATTTTCAAGGAGAAATCTGCATTTCTAAATGAAGTATTAGAAGGTGTCTACTGTAGCAACCAGAAGCAACTTGCAGATGTTTTGAGGAAGGATGTCAAAACTGGACACTTTATCCGTTTGAGGGATGTAATTGGTGTTGTAGTTTTTTGGTTAGCTAAATATGAATTAAGAGATGTTGATGAAAATGATTCATATTCAGAAGCTGTTGTTAGGGTCAGAAGTTTCTGATATTATTATTCAGAAGCAGTGTTGCTCAGAAGAAGTAAAGCTTCTGAGGTTGTTAGTGAGAAGCAGAAGTTTCTGAGGTTACGTCCAAAAGTATGTTTAGCTTATGGAATTTTAATTATTTTATTTACTTAACTATTAAATTTAATTTACTTAGTTATTAAGCTTATTTTTTATTATAGTCTATATGACAATTTAATTTATATATAAATATACTAGTGATAACTGTCATTTGTTAATAATAATAATAATAATTAAAATTCCTTCTTACACGACCATCATTTCTTTTGTTCTTATAAACATCTTCTCTTTTCTTTTGTTCTTAACATCTTGCATTAACAACTTT